CATGTATATCTCCATACATCAGGCAACCATTTGCTGCTGGGATTGCAGTCTTTCCAGCCCCCTCCCAACCTAGTCATGCTCCTGCTCAGTCCTTCTGGCCTGCTGAATGTTTGAATTCACCTCCGAGCAGTGGCACAGCTGTCAGCAGGAGTGAGGACTGGAATACATCTGTTACCCAGAATATAACCTTGAACGAGAGCATTTTTAGTGAAGATGTGAAAGAATTTTACACTCAGTCATTCACATCTTACACAACAGTGATGCCTTTTTAACAAATGGAAAAAAAGACAATGGCTCTTTCCTCCAGCCATATTTTTAGTAAGAGTGGTGACAGCTATTGCTGACATGCATTTCAGATTCCTGTGAAATCCAACTCTTTAAGATTTTTAGGAAATAATTTTTAGGCCATAGCCTGCTCCTGCCCACCCAGTGCTTTGTGATGGCTGATAAATGGCTGAAAATCTATACACAGGTTTCTCTTGTTTAACAGCATCAAAAACTAGGAGTAAAGCCCATGGTTAAATCCTACCACTACTTTGCATGATATGTTCACATGCAGGCACTCAGAATCCTTTCACTGTAGTAGTTAATCAAGTCACTGGCAGTTTATTTTATGGTATATACAGCTTCTTAATGGAAGGAAAGTTCATTTTACAGATAAGTAGAGGGGGGAATTTGATCAAGGTCACATAGAAAGTCCATTTCTGTGCTGGAAAGAGAACCAAGATCTGAGCGTCTGTTCTGCTTTTATGTGAGACACAAAGAAAAGAATGTTTCATCTGAAACCATCTTTTCCTTTTGCATATATCAGATATTTAAATATCTGAGCCATGTAGGGTGCTCTCTCGCTATTATGCTGAGCTCAGAACTCCGAAACTCACTGTTTTCCAGATAAGATCAGATTCAAGTCATTAATCCAGATAATCACAATAATCTCTGATGGAGTTTGGAGCTATATCGTAACCAAGAGCCAAAGTGTGCAATAAGCAAAAAGCTACGTTGAAATGCGCTAAAAGTGCAGTTCAGGTTTTTGAGAAACTGAAATGTCTGATGCAGACTTCCAATACCGTACACATTGTTAGTTCATTGGACTATAACTCAACCCCACCCTTTGATCACATTTCACATTCTGAACAAAAAGAAACTGCAGAATACAGGAAAAGAGTATTCAGGTATAGATGTAAATACCCCAGATAAGCCCAACACAAAGCCCTGGGGGACAACTGGCATATCAGTCTCGACGTGGCAAGTGACAAATGGCACTGATGCTCAGAGATTCATATAACCTTTCCTGGAGAAGCAAACTGATTTTTAATGGCAATTGTTCACTGTCACCCTCTTTGCATTGAAACATGACCAGATTCTACTATTTTAGGTAATCCGAGGATTCATTTTAACATGCAGTAATTGGGTGAAGTAAATACCACCGTTGTTACTGCTTTAAGAAAACCCTAAATTTTGCTTCTAGATTTTTTTTAACCTGGAGCTTTTTAGCTCATGCACTTCAGTTCTCTCAATAAGCAACTCTCCAAACCATGCAGCACTTTATGGATCAGAGCCATTACACAGAATTTAAAAAGGGGTGCCTACAGTCAGTTAAGAGTAAGTTTTAAGACTCACTACTAACTAATCAGACAAATGGATCCATACTCACTGGAAATTTCTAATTAATCTTCCAATGTTGAATCCTCGTGTTGAACAGCTTGCATGGTAGCAAATCCATGTCCTTGAGCCAAAACAAAACCAGAAATTTAGCAAACAGGCAGCTGGAGTAGGACAATACCTATCCAGACCAATCTAATCCTGCTGCAATGCAACACCCAACTGCAATATGTACTTTGAAATGATTTATCCAAGAGATGGCATTAGTTAGGCTCCACCAAGCTCCTCGTTGCCAGGCCACCCAGAGTTGCCTTTACTGGCATAGAATTATCTGCCTGCCATATTGATATAAAATGGAGTATTGTGGGTTTTAAAACACTTGGTAAAACTTCATAATAAGGGAGCCAGGGGCACTGAAATGGTTTAAGGGCCCAGCCATCTTTGCAATCCATCCCAGGACATACCGAAGAATCATTCAGAAGAAAACACACAGAAGGACTGCCAAATCAATCTGCATGGTTTTACCAGGGATTCATCTCTCTTTTCTTACATGACACTGTATATATTAATATTTTCATATGCATATTATGTTTATGCTGGCACTAAGCCTTAGTCACCCCATAGTAAAGCTGAGTTCTATTGTCCTAGCTAATTTTAGGCAGCAACAGCTTGAGTGTAAAGCACAAAACAATAAATAGGATAGATAAGTATAACCCATTGCAAGAGCCTTTTTGTCACCCTGATCTTTGGAACCTCATTGTCAATTACCATCACAATACAGTTTGCTGTGATAATCAGAGATTGGCATGATGAGATTGGCATGACCATATAAGTTAATAATTTATTCCCATCCACATCACTCGAAGATCAAACTTCAAAGTTAATGTTTGCCCATTTTCGGTGTTCTAAAGCTGGCACTTTGCACAAAGCCACAAAGCCAAGAACACACCCTTAGCTTTGAAGACTTTCATGGACCCAGCAACACTAAAAGATTTTGAGACACCACCTAAGTAAAAATTATAGTTCTGAAAACCACACAAGGAAGAGGTAGACAGAAGAAGGAAAAGGGTTGTGGAATATTCAGACTAAAAAAACCTATAAAAACACTTTAAAAGGAAAACCAACTATTATAGGAACACAGAAGAACTCTGAATGAAATAGATATCTTATGATTCCAGTACATGCAAAAAAATGAAGTCGGATTTTGTCGTATTTTAGTGCATTTACAGTCCTAAGTTACTCATGTAAATTGTGAGAGATTAAAGACAGTCCCTTGTTGTAGCAGTGACATTCCATCAGACCTCAGAGAAAAACCAGTTCTTTATGCTGTCAGCACTACACCAACCATCAAACTCATAAATATTGACCACCTGTGGTTCTTACTTAACTGACAGATCTGTGGGGCTGATCTGAACAGGACCCTCGGGACTCATGCCCAGGGAAAAAAATGCCAAGGAAAGGGGAAATTGGGACAGGAATGGAACAATGAGCTTTGATGGGAAATTCAGGACCCAGCTACTCACTGCTCCCATGGTGAAAAGGTTTGGAGTTGGCCTGACTTTTGAGAGACACCAAAGAATCACAAGGGGGGACACAGCAAATTGTCAGATAACTGACTGGAAAAGCACATCTGAGAATCTTCCTGATAGCTGAAGACTTGCTCCAGAATCACCTCCCTCTTTTTTAAGGTTCAGAAAAGCTGCTGAAGTAAGTTTGGTGTAGAAACTATACCTCACCTGCAGAATGTCACTACTCTGATTTACTTTTTCAGAGGTTAAGCAAACAGACTGGAATCAAATGTGGAAATTAATTGGTAGCTTTAACTTTGTTTAAATATATAAACACTAACTTCAGATACCTTAGCTTTTCCTAAATTAAATGAAGAGCAGATTCTTGGGGAGAATGCAGAACACGCCTAAAAAAAAACCTTCCTTGAAATGCTCAAAATAAAAGGTCGTTTCCCAGCTGTTAGGTTTTATAGATATGGATGCCTCAAATAAGGTGAGCAATTCACATTATTTCAGGCCTCAGTTTTCTACTGGATCCAGTAGAAGCTGCACCACACCACTGTCAGAAAGAACTTCTCTACAAAGACTAAAGAGAGTTACCAATTTTGTTATGCAACAATAAATAGGATGAACTCTAACTAGACACCAGGTATTTTTGTTTATGTATAGATACTCAACAGATAACACAGACTGACAGTGATAACTACAAAGGTCAAGATACAAGTCAATGCAGTAAAAAGAGAATTTAGCTCTTAGTAGAAAGTCAGTTTGCCCATTTCCTGAGCTGGCTGAAGGGTAAGATGGACATCTGTGATTAGCCCTGCACTAGGTATGGGCTATGACACGTTTTGAGACACAGAGTTATTCAGGTGATAAAAAAATGCATGAAATCTTGGAAAGAAAGTCAGTGTAAAAACCACACACCCAGACCTAACTGTTGTTGTTAATGCACATTGACCAACTGGGATTTCCGTTTTGAAGGTAACACCTAACAAAGCTGATGGCATCCCTGGGAACAGAATAACTATAACCCTTAACCTGGCAAAGGCAAAAGCTGGGTCAATAGTTTTGCTCAGTTCAAGTAGCACCAATTAGAGGGGAAGGGGAAAGGTGGGGAGGGAAGAAGCAGCTAAGTCAGGAAATACTCATGTTCTGCATTCTCCTTGAACAGGTAAAATTATGGCATTATAGAAACCGACCACATCAGGTAAATTCACTTAGCTGCACATCTTTTTCTGTTGCAGCAATGTGTCAGATGCACTTAGTGTTCACTGATGTGTTATAATGAAGAAAATCTGTAGAAGCTGCTCAGAATTTAAACTGGATGTTAAAGAGTGAGCACATGAATGCAGAATATGATCCCAATTTTCATAGCTCAGCATTAGATAGCAAACAAGAGGACTGTTTTTTGAAACAACTGCAGACATTCAGTGAATCATCTGCCCTTTGCTTATTATGTTAAGCAGAACAGACCTCTACCAAATTATAATGAACAAAGTAGACATTTGTTTTGTTGGGTAAATACTATTTTCTCCATTTGCACAAAGACTCTAGCAAAACCATGAAGATACAACAGAGACAGGAAATCTCAATAAATGCTCTTATTTTAATCACTGCTTTCATTAAATATCTGATTTTTCCTATGCATGGTGGGTAGAGTGAACGGTTTAGCAATTCTTTATTAAGGTGAGCAATAAAGATACTGTCATGATCTGGGGGCAATAAGAGAGAGATTCAGCAAGCAATGTGGTCAGGACTGGAAATTTGATTAAACTCCAGGAAAGTTCTCCTTGCAAAGATCAGTGCATCAGTTGAGCTTTAGTCAGCCACATCATCCCGTAAATTGCTCTCCAGATAAGCCAGCACATAAATTCCCTTGGCAAAACTACATCACTTCAGAGCAGCTGCCACAGACACAGCCATGGCCTTCAACGGCACTTGGAAAATAGACAGAAATGAAAACTATGAGAAGTTCATGGAGGCGATGGGTGAGTCTCACTTTTCCAATGCCTTCTGCAGGAAAAATGCCACTCCAGCTCAATACAAACCTGAGCTGCCTCTGAACTACCTTTGGGACAGCCCGTCCTATCTCTATTTGCTCTGTCCTTGCACAGTGCACTGCACTGATTTGCAAAATATTTAATGGAGGGGGGAGGATAAAAGATGCTGAAAAATATTCTGATTAAGTTATATTAATCTTAAGCACTTCAATTAATTCCAGCTTTATTACAGCAGAAAAAAGGAATCCCTAAGTCCACATTTGAAGAAAAGGCTCAGAGATTTTGAATTATAAACCATTAGCAGAATTCTGTAGCAAGAATATTATTTTGATAACATTAAACTAGTTTAAAAATTATCATTCATCAATTTTATAGAAACACAATTCAAGTGATTCTAACATCCTAATACTTTAAATTTGCACAGACAATGCATTATATAGATATAAACATAACCATCCCACTTAGACAGTGGTTTGTATTATATATGTACTGGTGAATGTGGTCCCAATAAAGAGCAAAGAAGAATAAAAATCTGGCTCAGAATGCTGGAATAAACTCACTTGGACCACATAAAAGTCAATAAAAGGAGACAAATATGATTCTCAAGGGGTTTGTTTTTGGTTGGTTGGTTTGTTTGAGGTTTTTTTTTCTGATGGATGTTAACTGATTTTTCCAGGTGTTAACATGGTGAAGAGAAAGCTGGGTACCCGTGATAACCTGAAGATCACTATCCAGCAAGATGGGAACAAATTTACTGTCAAAGAAGCCAGTAACTTCCGGACCATAGAGATTGAATTCACCCTGGGAGTCGACTTTGATTACAGCCTGGCTGATGGGACTGAAATGAATGTAAGAGTCTACCTATACAACTTTACATTTATTATATAATAATAACTAAAGGAGGTACAATTTCAGGATAAATTAGTTGTCTTCGTAGTGTTGAATTTATATTTTACTTTGGAAGAGTGATTGTTCAGGAATGCTTGCAGCTTTATATGCAAAAGCACAAGGTAGTCTTAACTGTTAATGGTTCACCTGTGGAACTCAGGGTTCCAGACAGAGCCCAAAAAAAGCAGAGCAAGTGGCAATTTTCATACGATGAAATCCAGGTGATTGTAATTTTTCATATTCTAACACTCAAGTCCACCACCTAGAGTACAGAGTGGGTATTCATAGGAAACTACCTTTTCTCTGGGGATACAATGAATTAAAATAAGGTGTACTGACTACTAAAAAATATCTAGCTTGACTATTATGCAATTAAATAAACTAATGGTTTTATTAAAATTTCATTTTTACAGCCTTTCTAAAAAAGCATTATTACACTGTTTTAATCTTTTCTCATTTAAAGCATTCTGCAGCCTTTCAATCAAATCACTGTCAGAACCGTTGCAAAATACTTGGGTTTTTTTTCTCCCATTATAGGGAAATTGGAACCTGGAAGGAAATAAACTTGTGGGCACATTTACCAGAAAAGACAATAGAAAAGTACTGAAAGCATACAGAGAAATCGTGGGTGATGAACTTGTTCAGGTGAGTTAAGCAACCACTTACACACAACTTTACCATAGAATGAAGTGAAAAATAATTTAAAAGCTGTTCTGAAAGTAACATCAAAGCCAAATAACTTCATTTATCTTTAGCTAAAATACTCCAGTCACCTATCAAAATTTACCCCTTTAAAATAAAACTCACAGCCCGTGATTTTTATGTTTTCCTCCACATGTGAACTGTACCTCATCCATGCATTCTGAAGCCTGTGTACAAGTTCTATGCAGGAGACAGAGACAGATAAATAACTATACACTGTATAGATGTGTTGTGGCTAAAGGCCCTTTTCCAAGTGTCCTCTGGGTTTTTCCAGAAGCCCCCAAAAGCTGCCCTGTGGTGGTTCAAACATTTGCACAGAGAGTTTATGCCTGTTGCCAACAGGCTGCTTTCCTTATGTTCCTCTCCCCAGAGCCTGCACAGCCACCCCTCACAATTCATTCCGTCATTACTGACCCCTTCTCAACAGCATCTGTGAAAGGGAGCTTTGCAATACCAGCCACTGATTTTTCTTCTTCATTTCTTAACAGACCTACGTCTATGAAGGAGTTGAATCCAAGAGAATCTTCAAAAGGGGCTGAGCACTTCACCCAGAACAGCACCAGAATGAAGAAGCAATGAAAAAAAGACCATTTTCTACACATCCTCTGCTGTATTTTTTTCCCTTTTATACCCTCACAGCACCTCCTAAGCTGCAATTACCTAGCCCTGGTGAAAACCCAGGCTAGTTCCTTATGTTACTGTTTTGCCTTAAATAAAAAACAAAAACAAAAAACCAAAACAATTACCAAATGCTAAAATGTCTTTAGCAAGTCCTACCTGAGTGTCATGAGATAAAGGGCAGCAGAAACTTTTTGCATAAGCAACACTTCAATATCTTTGCATAGGTTATCAAATGGCAACTTAGTTTCCTTAGTATTTATATTGAGAAACAGTTTCTCTGTGTGTTGGATATTGTGTAACAAGGATGGCAAAACCTAAAATAAACCTGACAACACCCAAGGCACCAAGATTATTCTATGTGAGTATAAATGTGGAGTAAAATCTGATGTCTTCAGCGTCTCACAGCTCCCTCTTCTGCCAAAATGCTCTCCTGATACAGGCAGTAAACCCACAAACCACAGCTCCTTTTGCTCAAGCGAGGTAACACGACTGGGTACAAGGCTTAAAGGGGAAGTACTGTCAGTGTTTCGCCTCCAAATCTCTAATATACTTCTCCTAACACACATATAGTTAACCAATACTTGCTGTATAAAGACGCATTAATCCTTATTTCTATTGATAGAATTTATTAAGGAAAAGTTCATGTTTTAGAAGCAAGTTCTGTTCAGATAAACCTGCTCTGCATTCTGCAGCAAGCATTGCTTTGTTTCTTAACATGAACTTATAAAGAGGAAGTTTTTGTTTAGCACATTCCTCTAGGTTTCTGATCACTCCTCTGGACATGATGAAAATAATTGCCCTGCTTTCAATATGGAGTGAACTGGCTGGACTGAGGGCAGCACATCCTGACTGTGAGTGCGGCATCAGGTTGTGCTGCTCCGTTTAATTTTTTCTGCAGCTGTGTGTTGCATAAATGAAGGAAACAGGATACACTATCTACCTGAACTTTTCCATTTTTGTTTCGTGTACAAACACCAACTAACCTTCAAGGAGAGGAGTGTATCTTAAAACAACTTCAGTTTTCCCAGACTTCGTCACAACAGGATTTCCCAACTGATCTCTTGTTTTCTTTCAGGGCACCATGTGCTCACCAGTAAACCGTGTCAGCATTAACTTGTGGGTGTTTACTCCCACACAAGTCCGAGTACAGCTGACAGGACAAGACCAACACGGTTTGACAGGACCGGCAGCCTGCTCTTCCCCACACCCGTGTCTCACCGGGTGGGCTTCCCTGTGGCGGGAAGAGCGGTGCCTGAGGCGGGAGAGGCGGTGCCTGAGGCGGGAGGGGCGGGGCAGTTTCTGAGGCGGGAGGGGCGGGGCAGTTTCTGAGGCGGGAGGGGCGGGGCAACCTCTGAGGCGGGAGGGCGGGGCAGTCCCTGAGGCGGGAAGGGCGGGGCAGCCTCTGAGGCGGGAGGGGCGGGGCGGTCCCTGAGGCGGGAAGAGCGAGGCCGTCCCTGAGGCGTGAGCGGCGGGGCAGCACCTGAGAAGACGAGGACCGGTATGGTGCCTGAGGCGGGAGAGGCGGGAAGGCCAGTGCCTAAGACGGGAAGGGCGGGGCCGTCCCTGAGGCGGGAGGGGCGGAGAGGACGCTGAGCAGATGAAGGGCGGGGCGGTACCTGAGGCGGTGCCTGAGGCGGGAGGGGCAGTACGTGAGGCGGGAAGGGCGGTGCCTGAGGCGGGGCGGGCCATACGTGAGGCGGGAAGGGCGGCGCCTGAGGCGGTGCCTGAGGCGGAGGGGCAGTCCGTGAGGCGGCGGGCGGTGCCTGGGGCGGGGCGGGCGGTACGTGAGGCGCGACGGGCGGTGCCTGAGGCAGGAGGGGCAGTCCGTGAGGCGGGGCGGGCGGCGCCTGGGGCGGGGCGGGCGGTACGAGGCGGGAAGGGCGGTGCCTGGGGGCGGGAGGCAGTCCGTGAGGCGGGCGGGCGGTGCCTGGGGCGGGGCGGGCGGTACGTGAGGCGGGAAGGGCGGTGCCTGGGGCGGAGGGGCAGTCCGTGAGGCGGGGCGGGCGGTGCCTGGGGCGGGGCGGGCGGTACGTGAGGCGGGAAGGGCGGTGCCTGAGGCGGGAGGGGCAGTACGTGAGGCGGGAAGGGCGGTGCCTGAGGCGGGAGGGGCGGTACGTGAGGCGGGAAGGGCGGTGCCTGAGGCGGGGGGGCGGTACGTGAGGCGCGACGGGCGGTGCCGCCCCCGATGCGGGAGGGGCCGGCGCGTGACGCCGCGAGGCCGGGGCCGCGGTACGTGCGCTCCGCTCTCATTGGCCCCGTACCCGGAAGAGCCGGTGGCGCCTGCGCGGTGGTGCCGCCGGGAGAGCCCCGAGGAGATGGAGGCGGTGGCGCGGCGGCCGCAGGAGCGGGGGCAGGAGCGGAATCGGCGGCAGGAGCAGGGGGATGGCGGCCAGCTGCTGTCACGATCGCTGTCACTGTCGGGACAGTCCTACTGGCTGGACCTGTGGCTCTTCGTCCTCTTCGACCTGGCGCTCTTCGTGGTCATATACTTGCTGCCCTGAGGGCGCGGGCCCAGGTGAGGGAGGGCCCCCGGGAGCGGCCGGGGGATAACGGGAGGGAGAGAAGGGAGCTCCGAGGGGCTGTCCTCGCGGAGGGAAGGCCCCTGGGAGCAGCCCCGGCCTTCCTGCCCCGGAGCGTCCCACACGTCGGCCTGGGAAGCACAAACGCTTCTCAGGAAGTGGGAAACGAATTCAAAACAAAGGCGCAAATGCACCGCAAAAATAACTAGGCCTTTTCTGTTCCCCGCAGAGGAACGCCACGGGATGCACCTCGTGAACACGAGCAGTGGAGGAGGAGGACCATTCGTGCGGGATAAGCAGCTGGGAACACGGCTCCACTTGCAGCTGGATGCAAGAGGCACATATTTATAGTAATACCATAATGTATCTCTGCCTGCGTCACAATATTACGCTACAGGTTTTTACCTGCGTCCTGTTTCTGTGCTCCAAACTGTGCCTTAAAGGTTGTGTAAGATGGACGGGCTGTGCTTGTGTAATCGGTGCCTGAAGATTTGTGCAGCAGAAAGGGAAGAAAGCACTGCTTGAATAAAACCCACTGAAAGGACACTCTGCAGAGTGGCTGAGAATAAAGCCCAGCTCTTGCCTAGACCCAAGTTTTAACTCAGACCTGTTCCCACAAGAGGTGAAGCTTAACCAGCTGTTTTACTTCCAAAAAGTTAATTGTGAGGGTTTGATGCTGTTTGGGTTTCTATTACACCTTTCTCTCTTCTTTCTTATCTACCTTCAGCAGTTTCTGAGCCTCCTCAGGGTCAGTATTTATATGTATGTGTATTTAGAGTAAGCTTTGGATCCGGTCAGGTTTTGGAGAAGACAGTCTCCTGTCTATGGATGAAGGGGGTTCAGTTTTCTGTAGTATTTTTCCCTGGGGAATACTAGTTTCTAATTCTGAGAAGCACAGTTCATAGTTGGTTTGGGTTTTTTTCACGAATAAATGTAATAACTGCATTGCAGAGACTCTGAAGTGTAAAGTGTTTTGGTGTTTCCTAACACATTAAATGAAAATGGGCATGAATACTGGAATCTGGGATACAAAAGTGACACATGCTCTTTCCCTTTATTTTCCTTTCATTGTTAAAGACAAATCTGCCAGTGACAGGGGCTTGTTTTTTATGTGTCAGACCTATGCTGTAAGAATGGGATGCCCTATGAAATCAGTCAGTGGTTTCAGAGATCTTGACTCAGGGTGCAGAAGAGCATTGAATTGTGATTCCATTCTCACTAGTGAAAAAATTAGGGTTCTGGTTTTTAGAGAATTTCACTACTCTTTTTTCATTAGTATTATAATTTTTTCCCCCTCTGGCATGATTTCACCAGGAAAATCTCAAGGGAACAACCTCTTGAGCACTGGAGTGTTGCTCCATTTCTCTTTTGTTAAGGAAGACAGGTGATATTCAGCTTTATAGCCTTTAGAAAGGGAAATTTCAAGGTATCTCCTGGTGATTTAGTTTTCTCCTTTGGGCAGATCTGGCATCCAAGGTTTTACTTATCTCAGAAAACTTAAAGAGTTTTCCATCACCTGGAGTTCAGGAATACATATATCCAGGAAAATCTTGCTTATCCCTAATAAAGGTGGAAAGAGAGCTTGTGGAACTAAATCAGTCATCTGTCACCAGATATGAGGGATCATGGTACTAAAATTGCTTTATGCATTTCATGAGTATAAAAAAGTTTAATCTGTTTTAACAGCTTTATAAACAAATGTTTCAAATTTAACCCTTCAGAAAAGGGTTAAAGTTAAAAACTGTACCTCCATCTCTGCAAAAATTTCAACCAGCAAGTTGAAACCATAGCAGTGTTATCTGTCACTTCAAAAATGTAGTTCTGGAAAGCCAACCTTTTTTTTTTTTTTTTTTAATGTGGAGTAAAGAAAAAAGAACAGACACCAAAGATTTTAAATTTTTATCTTGATATTTTGAACAAGCAGAACTTCGCAAGAAAATAATTCTAAAGACTGAAAAATATATATTAATTACAAGACTTGTTAATATCTTTACTGTTACAAAAATGGTCTAGGCTCTTATACAAATCTATAGCCGGGAGGGGACATTTATAAAAAAATAAATAGGCACCCTAGGTAAGTTAAAACGAGTTATCACATATTAGTTAGCAAATATTACATACATACATACAGGGAGTGCAGAGTCAAATATAAAAACAAAGGTGCCTCGATTAGCTGTCTATGGAGGGTAATTAAATACCTGGTAAACATGGGGCACAGAGAGAGTCGTCTGGTAAGATTGTTTCAAGCCAAGCAAGGAGACTGAAGAACATCTAAATCACTGCAGCTACTTCAGCAATGAGTTTACCAGTTGTGCTTCCTGGGAGCCGAGTTCATTGGTATCAGGGACAGGCATTCCTATTGCTCCTGGGACAGCAGTAGCAACGTTGCTATGCATGTTTAAAAGGAAGTGTTCTAACATCATTCACAGTTGGTGCTGTGCTATTCATACATAAAAATACTGTCATTTCAAATACAAGATTTTTCCTTTTTTTTTTTTTGCAAAACATTTTACAAATTATACATTATTTACAAATTCCATTAATCTTGTTTGTTTTTAATTTTTTACACAAGTATTAGAAGACAGCTGTATATAACTGGCTATGTATATTATGTAACATGGCTAGATGAACTAGAAAAGTTTAATTTACAGGTTCTGAAATCTCTCTCAAAAATAGTACAATAGGAATCACCCCAGTTCTAACATTTTTAGTGTTCTTCTGTATTCAACTGATTTTCTTACAAAAGGATCAGTTTTTAAGTTGCTGTTCACCAGCAGCCATACCTAAACATGCATAGTATTTTCACTATAAATCCTTGAATTCATTTTTTTTTCCAAGTGCTACAACTAACTTTGATCAAGAAGGTAGAAATAAGGTTAATCTGAGATACCTGGTTTGTTGCATATATATAATGTTCCAGTTCTACTGCAAGTTGCATGTAATTTAAAAGAAAAAAACCTGACCTTGCCACAGAATAACCAAAACTAAGTGTTTACCTTGGATAATTGTGCTAAACAACTGCCAACATTTGGTTGGAGCACTAAAACTCATGTACATAAGGTTATAAACATAAAAAAAAAAAAAAAGCGCCTTTCTGACTAACAGTGCAAGTATAAGCCAGAGTGTTTATAATGCATATTTAACCTTGTGGCATTATTTTCATAACTAAAAGGCATTGATGATTTAGGTGTAATCAGCAGCACCCCAAGTTAACACTCTAATGTGAATAATGGGAAAATGTAGCCTTTTTGGATTGTGTCAGGCTTTGCTGCCACTGCCTCAGCACACTCTACAAAGTTCTGTGCACTGATTTAACTAACCAAATAAAAGCCAAATGAATCCTCCTCTTTGTTGCTAAGTCAGGTTAACAAAAGACAAGGTAAATGCCAGAGCTGCCAAAACTGTAGGCAGTGACAGAGCAGAGAAAGAGGAACCTCTTCTTTCCCTGCCCCTCAGCCACCACAGGCTGAATGGCTACACGTTCAGCCTGAGCTGCTAGTGCAGACCACACCCATGTGTAGGGCTGTTCAAGAGGGGGGAAACACATCAGTAAAAAAAAATTAATTAAAAAAAAGAATCAAATGTGTGATCCCCATGAACCATTGCTCAAAATGTCAAGTTGGAAGAAAAGGGAAGCTTAATAAATAGCAGCAATAACTTTGTATGCACTTGGAGGATAAATCAGAATTGAACATAAGCAGTAACTCTATCTAAAACCTTACAAAACTAATCTTTCATAGTTCCATGATAACTCTGTATTTAACATTAGCATCCTATTCTCTTATACCAGTTTGTAACTGATGTGGTTAAATTTAATAAGTTGAAGTATATAGCTTATAGGGTGAACAAAATCTGATAAATGTGTTTAAAAATGTACACTAACATAGAGCAGCTGTATTAATAGGACAGCATTACTGCAGTTTACTTCAATTCCCTTTGAAAGTCTCATTTAACATTTGCAAACCAGGACGGTTTTTAAAGGATTATTATTATTATTATTAAGGCTTTTCAAATAAAAAATAAATCCTCTGGGTAAACTTGTATTAAAGACACTTGAAGGTTTGTGAAAGCACAGACTTTCAGAGAAGTCAGTTGAAAAAACCACGTTATCTCCTGCTACCTCTGAGGACAAATAATACTCTATTATTACTACATTTACTGCATTTGATGTGGTAGTACATTTATCCCTTTTGTTAGTCTAAGTAGGTAGTGACCGCAGTCTGAAGGAGCACTTCTTAAACTGCAACTAATTAAATCTTCTTACAGATTTAGTAACATCCAGTCGATCCCACTGCTGTAAGATGTGCACACCCCAAGGGACCATGTTTAGTACAAACTGTAGAAGACAAGCTGATTAACAGAGGTAAGCATTAAGGCAACTAGAGTAACAAATCAAAGAACCACAAGTTTAGCACCTCTTCTCCTCCGTGCGCCTCCAATTTGCATATTCATTTGAACAGTCGGAACTCCCACGCAAAGTACGGTCAGCTGGGTACCTGGTTATCACACACACACACACATTCAAGGGTTGTGCCTGTTCACAGACCACGGGAAATGCAAAAGTCAGATCCGGGGGTGAGGTTTTTATGGATCTATCGGCTGCAGTGGATGCCTTCTGCATTGGCCTTGTACCTCGGCTCGGGCGCGGGGTGCCTGGGCTCCAGAGTGGCGTGGTATGCAGCGTTCAGTTCTACCCCAGCTGCTGGAGGATGCTTCTCCTTGGGAAAGCTCCCGCTCTCTGCGAAATACAGCTTGGGCCTCTGGTGGTACTTCATCCTGTAGGTGTCAGTCATGCAGCTGTCGACTGAGAAGTAGGTCGTTAGGGACACGCTGTCGTTCCCCTCCACGTAGCCGGGACTCGGCCCCGTGTGACGGGATCCTTTCTTTAACAAGTTCTCCGACACGGTCCAGAAGTCATTGACTGGCAGGCGAGGTGGAGAATCCGGTTTGTGGACAAACAGTTCGTTCCCTGGAAAGGGCTCTTTCAGCCTTTGTTCTGGTGGGAGTACACTTGGGTCTGGTGCAGGTTTTGGAGGTGCACCCGTTTGCCTCAGCGGATTACTTTGCAACGCTTCCATGGGTTTTACCTCTGCTGCCGAGTTACCCTCTGATCCCGGCAAAGTATTCAGGGCGTATTTCTTGGGTGGCAGAGGGGGAGGGACGTTCTGATACACTGCTTCAGGCACCCAGAGGGCATCCCCCCTCCGCAGCGGGTGCCCGGCGTGCTCAGCGGGAGGGGCGGGAAGCACCACGGGCCTCTCCGGCAGGGACTGTGGGACGCAGGGCCCCAAGCCCACCTTGGGACCAAGCGTTCTTGTGTGATGAGACTGCGGCTGGGCAGAGGGGGCAAAGTCACTGTGGAGCAGCTTCCTGCCACAGGCGTTCTCGGGGTAGGGGTGGGACAGGCCATCAGGACAGAACACTGCCACATTCACCTTCTCAAACCTGTCTGGGTGAAGCCACTCGGAAGGATTCTGTTCGCTTGCCTTGTTCCTGCTTTCCGACTTGACGATGTCTTTGACAACTGGCTGGAGAGCTGAGGAGGGGAAAAATTTCCTGGTGGTCTCAGGCATTTCAGCTCTAAAATACAAAACCACACAAGATGTAAGTATCCCTAAAAACATATGAAGAGGTTCAAATAACCCAAGGATCTTTTCAAAGACAGTCTTGGTAAAACTGCCTAAATATTCAAACCAATGAGATAACCAGAATCTGTTGAATTTACAGCCATTGATTAACAGCTGCGTTAAATTACTCCAAGGTTTCTGTCATTTGAAATGTAAAATGCAAGAGATGCAAGGTAAGATAAATTCCTTTAACATTCAGGACTACGTTAAACACGACCTCTGCTCTCTTCTGTGCATCCCTGTGACTCTCATACATCCGCTTTTCAAATATTGGATGTTACTTCTGCCTGCTAAACTTGTGTTTAGATTCTTGATTGTCAGAAACTTT